CCTAGCACAACTGGTCAAGAATTTATAATTCCCCATGAGCATGAAAATTTTATTCTGATAGAAAAATTGGGAAACCCTATGTGCAGAATCCTGAGGAGGATGACACTATAGTCACCAGAAAAAGTAAGAGACAGAGGACTGCAAAGTCTTTTGGTGATGACTATATTGTGTGCCTTGTGGATGACACACCAACAACCATTGAAGAGGCATATTCCTCTCCTGATGCTGACTTATGGAAGGAAACAGTACGGAGTAAGATGGATTCTGTTATGTCTAATGGAACTTGGGAAATTGTTGATCGTCCCTATGGGTGCAAACCTATAGGGTGCAAATGGGTGTTCAAGAAAAGGCTTAGGCCTGATGGTACTATTGAGAGGTACAAGGCAAGGCTTGTGGCCAAGGGTTATACTTAAAAGAAATGTGAGGATTTCTTTGATACTTATTCATCGGTTGCCCGATTGACCACAATTCGAGTTTTGCTTTCTCTGACAGCCTCTTATGGTCTCATCGTTCATCAAATGGACGTTAAGACAGCTTTCCTAAACGAAGAGTTGGAGGAGATCTATATGGATCAGCCTGATGGGTTTGTAGCAAATGGTCAAGAAGGCAAGGTGTGTAAATTATTAAAGTCATTATACGGCCTAAAACAAGCTCCTAAGCAATGGCATGAGAAGTTTGACAGAATTTTAACATCTGCTGGTTTGTTGTGAATGAAGCTGACAAATGTGTATACTATCGGTATGGTGGGGGTGAAGGAGTCATTTTGTGCTTATATGTTGATGACATACTGATCTTTGGATCTAGCCTCAAAGTAATTGAGGAGATGAAGGAATTTCTATCTAAAAATTTTGAGATGAAAGATTTGGGAGAGGCTGATGTTATTCTTAATATCAAGCTTCAAAGAGAAGGTGATGGTGGAGTAACTCTGTTACAAACCCACTATGTGGAAAAGGTGCTGAGTCGCTTTGGGTTTAGTGACTGTACACCTGCTCCTACACCTTATGACCCTAGTGTGTTATTGAGGAAAAATCAGAGAATAGTAAGGGATCAGTTGAGATATTCCCAGATCATTGGTTCGCTCATGTATCTTGCTAGTGCAACAAGGCCTGACATCTCATTTGCTGTGTGCAAGGTGAGCCGGTTTGTGTTAAACCCGGGAGATGATCACTGGCGTGCTCTTGAGAGAGTAATGCGCTACCTAAAAGGGACCATGGGCTATGGTATTTGTTATACCGGACATCCAAAAGTGCTGGAAGGCTACTCTGATGCCAACTAGATTTCTGATGCTGATGAGCTCTATGTCACAAGTGGATATGTGTTTTCGCTTGGAGGTGACGCTGTTTCCTGGAAGTCTTGCAAGTAGACTATCTTAACGAAGTCTACAATGGAAGCAGAACTCACAATATTAGACACTGCTGGATCTGAGGCTGAGTGGCTTCGTGATCTCCTTATGGATTTACCGGTTGTTGAAAAACCCATACCGGCTATTTCTATGAACTGTGATAACCAGACTGTGATTACAAAGGTTAACAATTCTAAGGATAACATGAAGTCCACAAGGCATGTTAAGAGATGACTAAAATCTGTCAAAAAATTGAGAAACTCCGGAGTAATAGCGTTGGACTATGTCCACACGTCTAACAATCTGGCAGATCAGTTCACTAAGGGTCTGTCACGCAATGTGATAGAAAGTGCATCGAGAGAGATGGGTTTGAGACCCATTTGAAATTTACTAAAGTGGTAACCTGTTCTATATGATCGGAGATCCCGTAAAGTAGGACGGTAAAACAAGCTAGTAGTAAATTGTGAGGAAAGATCCTTAGTAAGACTCATTTCTGATGCACATCTTTCCTTTCTATAAGGCTGGCTGGCTATTGCCTTAATGTGTTCCAAGTGGCTTGTCAAAGCAAAGATGTTGTCCTACAGAACATCTTTTAAGGAACACACCTATATGAGTCAGACTGCTGGTCATAGTCTATGAGATTTGGGTGATCTCTAAATATTCATGAAAGGCACTGAAGTATGACTTATATGCTTCAAATAGAGGGGATATCTTTTGCTGTCCAGTATCAGCTAAGGACTTTAGTGACATTCACCTCACATAAAACTGTCAATTTAAGGCTTAGTCCATTGTTCAGTTGTGACTGAGTGAAACTATTGTTCTAGATGGATGTTCAACTTAACAGTCTCCATCGAAACACTGGTATATAAAAGAAATGTGGTTCTAAGACTACTTTGTTACAAACCCTAGAGTTTGGTGGGGATTGTTGGATGTAATATGGGCTTGGCCCATATAATATTTAATAAATCAAATAAAACTCTATGGTGCGTAACACTAAGTGTTGTATGGTTTAATACCATACGGGATTTTGACTGAACGCTGACTCAGCTTATATGGTTGGAAATTATTCATCTAAATTGAGAAGCTGAGAAAAGGATAAAAGGCGTGCCACACGCGCGTGCGCGCGCCGCCGCCGGCTGGGCCGGGGCTGTGGGCGTGGGCGTGGGCGTGGGCGTGGGCGTGGGCCGAGGCCGAGGCCGTGGCCGTGGCGGTGGCGTGGCGTGGCGAGGCAGGCGGGCGAGCGGGCGGGGCCACTTAATCTCTATAATCACGGGAGTTACTCCCTTTGATGATGGAGGCGAAGTGACTGCGTCAGTTACCGTCCTTTCCGCTTTCGCTTCCCGTCTCCTGGGATTCTCCGCTGCCTTCGTCTTCTTCCCCGCTGCAGCCATATATTTCCTGTCCTCCGTCAGTCCAGACTGATCTCGCAATCACACCCGAGAGAACCACAGATCAGCAGCCTTCTGACTTCCCCGTCCCGTACCTCTGCGCGTACGGAGGAGCGGGAGAGCAGGTGCCTCCGGAACCCTCAGCCGCCTGAGAATCTTCTTCTTCCTACTAGAGATCGGATCCGTCTTCTTCTCCCTGGAACGTCAAGGCGTCTTCTTCCTGGTGATCCGTTCATGGGACTGCACTGCGAACATCTTCCTGCATCGACTATGGTCCGCGACTTCGAGCAACGCACTATATCGACTAGTACGAATGGAGCCTCCGCTGAGTACAGTCTAATCTCTATGATTACTGTATTTTGTGTTTTTACTGTGTCAATCAATATGTCATCTGTGCATGCTATAGCGTTCATAAGAAATATACACATACACACATATGCTGTCACGAATGTTATATTTCTGGATTAAACTGATAATGAAAATACCTAAATTTCCTTGCCGGTGCCACAGCATCCTCTTGCCGGTGGCGGTTCAGTGGCGGAGCTAAGGATGTCCCGGCATACCCTGCAACTGCAATTCCGGCGTGCAAGTATATATATATATATATATATATATATATATATATATATATATATATATATATATATATATATATATATATATACACACGTATTTCTTATAAGTTAAAAAAAACAACGCTTACCTGAATACCTGAGAGCCGAATGTGTGTATAGGCAGCCCGCGAACCAGCGTCAGAGCAAGGCCCACGCAGCCCATGTGGCCAGCGACGGGAGACGCCGCGCCGCTTTTAAGGAGTAGCCGTATCGCCTCGTTCGACAGTTCATGTTACGATCTTCATCGCTCGACGACGTACGCCAGATCGGAAATCGCCAACACGGAGCACGAGCATCTAGTCGTCCTCGTCTCTAGTTCTCTACGACCACACCGCGCCCAGAGGCCAGAGCCCCAGACGGCCAGTCGGCCAGACTAACCGCACCGGCAGCGGCGGCGGAGGCTTAAGTGCAATTTGTGATCAGAATTGAGGTGAGATTCAATATTTGCTCATCGGCTTTCCGTAAAAAATTCATGTCTACTTTAATTGCTATTTGCTAAGCGCTGACATCATAAAATCATCTAGAGGTCGGAGGGTTTGTCCCAAAAATCAAAGTCGATCAAAATTTATCTGTATTCGGTACACGTATCATGTGAGTGTTTCCATAATCGCATATGAAAAACTCAATTGTGCAAGCACAATTTATTTTCTTTAAAGTCGATGAAGATGATATAATCAAGACATTTATGTCCCTTCAAAAGCGTCGAATTTAAGCCTTATCGTGTTACTTAGTGTATATATACCGGATCACGTTGTTAATTTTACAATTATTATTACCAAATTGTTAAAATAGATTTACAGAATTATATATGAAATTTTTTGGTCGGACATACCCTAAGCTAAAATCTTGGATTCGCCACTGTGACAGTTGGCTGTGGTCGTCCACGATGAGACTGGTTTGGGCTTGGGTGTCGGGGGTTTTTGGGCGAAAGCCTTGCTTGGCCCTTTGGCTTAGGCCGGCAATGGTTACGTCTTTGGTTGCACGTCCCTCGTTGGAGGCATTGTCGTGAGGCACCCTTACCCTTTAGGAGTTTGGTTGAAAAACATTGGTTCTCCTCTCGGCGTTGATGACATCTATTGTTGAATTTTGGGGAAATTTATGAAACTCTTCACTCATGTCTTTGCTTAGTGTTACATATATATATATGGTACATGGGCTCGTGGGCCTTACACACTTATGCACAGATAAAGCCCAACACTCCCCCTCAAGATACGTGATAGATATCTATTATTCCCATCTTGTTACATGCTAAATTACATTCTTTTACTCCTAAACATTTTGTTAAACAATCAGCTATTTGACCACTTGAGTTTACATGACTTAACTCCAATATCCCATCATCTAATTTCTCCTTGATGAAGAAGCAATCTATCTCCACATGCTTGGTTCTATCCTATTGAACTGGATTGTTTGCATACTGATTGCAGACTTGTTATCGCACCAGAGTCTCATGGGGCCTTTTCTTAGGACATTCAACTCTAACAAAAGATTTCTTACCCATAGCATTTCACTCAGACCATGAGACATAGCTCTATATTCTGCTTTGGCAGTTGAACGTGATACTACTAATTGCTTCTTACTCCTCCATGACACTAAGTTCCCCCCAACAAATATGCAATAGCCTGAAGTTGATCTCCGATCATCAAGACAACTTGCTCAATCAGCATCGCAATAGCCTTCCACATTTAGGTGACCGTGACTCTTAAACAGGAGCCCCTTTCCCGGACTATTCTTCAAATATCTTATGATTCGGTAAACAGCATCCAAATGACCACTTCTTGGGTCATGCATATACCGGCTCACAACACTCATTGCATAGGATATGTTAGGCCTCGTATAGCACAAATAGATAAGGCGCCCAACAAGCCTTTGGTACCTTTCTTTATTTACTGGATTACCTGATTCGGCACATAACTTGTGATTTAAATCAATCGGTGTTGATACTGGTCGACATCCAAGCATGCCTGTCTCACTTAGTAAGTTTAGAATATACTTTCTTTGTGAAAGAACAATACCTTTTGGATTTCGTGCAATCTCAATGCCAAGAAAGTACCTGAGTTTCCCGAGGTCCTTGACCTCAAATTCCTTACTTAGATTTTTCTGGAGTCGTATGATCTCTTTTTCATCATCATCAGTAATGATAATACCATCCACATACACAGCCAACACCAAAATCTTGCGCCCTAAATGTTTATAGAAGACAATATGATCTCCATTGCACTGCTTGTATCCCATACCACACAGTGCACGCTTAAATCTGTCAAACCATGTTCGTGGAGATTGTTTGAGATCATACAAGGACTTTTTCAATTTGCACACCTTCCCAATTGCCCCAGGATTAGAAAACTAGGTGGAATCTCCATGTACACTTCCTCTTGAAGATCACCATGCAAGAAAGCATTCTTGACATCCAATTGATGCAATGGCCATCCAAAATTCACCGCACAAGAAACCAAAGTTCTCACTGTACTCATCTTTGCCACAGGTGCAAATGTTTCATCATAGTCAATGCCATATGTCTGACTATACCCCCTTGCAACAAGTTGAGCTTTGTATCTTTCGATCTTACCTTTAGGTGTTTGCTTCATAGTGAAGATCCACTTGCAACTAACATTTTTCTTTCCTGGAGGTAGTTTGACAAGGTCTCAAGTTTTATTCTTTTCGAGGGCTCTCAACTCCTCCAACATGGCCTCACGCCACTTGGGATCATGCTTTGCTTCTTTCCAATCTTAAGGAATATGTGTAGATTGTAATGAAGCAATAAATGCTCTATATGCAGGAGATAATGATTCGTATGAGACATAATTACTTATGTCATGCTCAAATCCATACTTAACTGGAGGTTTCCCAGCTGTACTCCTTGCCTCCTTTCTTAGAGCAATAGGCAAATCAATGAAAGAGTCAACTTCTCCCCCTGTCTCTATGGACTACTCAACCCCACTATCACTAATGTCAATGCCACTAATTGAAGATTGTTGTTGCTCCAATAGTTGTGAATGCTCAACATGTTGCTCCATCAGTTGTGGTTGCTCAACTTGTTGCTCCACCAATTGTGGTTGCTCAACTTGTTGTTCCACTGGTAGCACTCCAACATTTTTATTTCTTCTAGTATAAACCTGCACAATATTTCTATTTCCTTGCTTTGTGTTCCTGTTATTAACATTTATGTTTTCCTGTCTCTTATTCACATTAGAATTACTTACACGCAATGGAATCACTCCTGTGATAACTTTTGTTGTCCTTGATTGATGACCTTCATTATCTTGTACTACATCTATGCCATCCATCCCCTCTTGTTCATACACACTCATGCTTGGTTCACCAAGCTCAAACAAGGAGCTCAAATCAGTCTTCTCCCCATAGTAAGGCTTAGACTCCTGAAATGTCACATCCATACTAACAAAGAGACGCCGTTCAGTGGGACACCAACACTTGTAGCCTTTTTGACTTGAGGAATAACCCACAAATATGCACTTAACTGCTCAGGGGGTCCAACTTTCCCACAAAAGGTCTGTGATCCCTAACAAAGCAAGTGCACCCAAATACCTTAGGTGGAACAATAAACTCATTCACTCCTCGTAACATCTCATAAGGAGTTTGCCAACCAAGCAATCTCGAGGGCGTACGATTAATCAAATATACCGCTGTCATCACTGCCTCACTCCATAGAAACTTTGGCACATTCATAGCATACATAAGTGAACGTGCAACCTCCAAGATATGACAATTTTTCCTCTCAGCAACTCTATTTTGTGGAGGTGCATCAGGACATGTAGTTTGGTGTAAGATCCCTTGAGCTGATAGAAAACTACATAATTCATTGTTCGTATACTCTGTTCCATTATCTGTTCTCAACACTTTAACTCGAGCATCATATTGATTTCTAATAAGTGAGCAAAAATCCTGAAAGCACTCAAGTACTTCACTCTTGTGTTTCATGAGATAGATCCAAGTCACACATGAATAGAAGTCAATAAAGGTGACAAAATACTTCATTCCACTAACTGAAGTGACTGGGCTCGTCCACACATAAGAATGAACTAGCATAAATGGAGTTATACTCCTAAGTCCTCTACTTACATACGTTGCTCTTGTATGCTTCCCATACTCACATGCATCACATACTAGTTTCCTCTTATCTGTCTTAGTCATTATTTCTGGAAATGCTTTGGCCATAGTATCAAATGACAAATGCCACAGCCTACAATGCTGAAGCATCACCTTAGCTTCATCTTCATTCATGCTTGCTGCTAAAGCAGCACCCAAAAACTTACCATTTTCCTTCCCGTCCAGGTACCATAATCCACCATGCCTAATGCCAATTCTAATTTCCTTTCCCGTCCTCCTGTCTTGAATGAGACAGTGCTCTTGATCAAAAGAGACTTGTCAATCTATTTGATCAACTAATGCACTTAATGATACTAGATTAATAGGAAATGAAGGGACATGCAAAACTGATGACAGAGTAATTGATGGGGTACACTTGACAGTACCACTGCCTTTGATAGGTTGACATGTCCCATCAACAGTTTGAATGGTCTCCTTATATGTAGATGGATATGGTGTGTAAGATATAAACTCATCAGGAGCACCAGTAACATGTTTGAAAGCACCAGAGTCCAATATCCATCCATGTTGAGCTCTCTTCATGCATGAGAGAGCTTCAACATGAAGATCTTCCAACTTGGTACCCATCGGCATCAACGCCAACTTTTGTATCATCTCCATTTTCTCCGTAGTTTCCTTACTTGAGGATGATGTCTCACTGATTTTCACAATGAGTAACTTTACCATTTTTTCTAGTTCAGATAATATCCCAAGAACTTCCATGATTTCTTGATTTTCCCCCATAATTTAATGTTGCCAAGTCCTTCTAGCTTCCACAACTGAAGAACAGATGAACGGTATAGCAACAGCTCCAATGCCTTCTGCACCTGCAGTTCTTTTACTCACGAGACCAAAAGGCATAGCACTACAATCCCTCCAATAGCCTCCCCTGCCTTCTGCAGTCCAGCTCCTCACAAATCCACTCCTAGGATGTACACGCACACACCCCAGGCAACAATTCCTTCTGCAACACAACAGCACAGGAAGAGCACAAGCACACGCACCTCAATCTCCTCAGAACTTGCCTCTCCTTCTAGATCCCGTCCAACTGCTTCACATGCTGCTGCTTCTTCTAGCTCTTGCTTTGCTTGCTTTCTCCTCCTGCTGCAGCTCCCAATCCACACACAGCATAAGCTTGAGCACACGCCTCTCCACGGGCAGCCTCCGTGAGCTCCCTCTCTGCATTGCGGCCGCCGTCACCAACCTCCAGCCAGGGGACGTAGCGCTCTTCTTTTTGCGCACGGTCGGCCGCGCCCTGCCTCTCGTGCTCCGCCCCTGTAGCCTCGCGGCCTCACCTGACGTCTCTGCCTAGCAAGGCTGTTGCTGCCCTCAGCTTCACCTGCCGCTCTTGCCTTGCTACTCTTCCCAACACCTCGTCGTCGGCCGCCGGTTGCTGTCACGCCGACCAGGTGAAGCAGGGGGTCGCCTCCATCGCCACCACCATCGGCTCCGACAACATGCTGAAATTTGGGAAATTTTATGGAACTCTTCACTCATGTCTTTGCTTAGTGTTACATATATATATGGTACATGGGCTCATGGGCCTTACACACTTATGCACAGATAAAGCCCAATATCTACGGATGTCGTTCCCCTCTTTGAAGGCATTGCTGTGGAAAGCTACTCCCCCTTCTAGTTTACATCGCCTGATGCTTCTGAGGGTCGTGGGCTTTGTGTTTTATTGCAGCAGTTGGGTTGTTGTTGCCTCCTTCATGAGTTTTTTTTTTGTATTGCAATTACATCTTCTCTATTAATGCATGCCCGGCATATTTGTGTCGCTGGCTCTTCAAAAAAGAAGGCTGTCCTCATGTGCTCCAAGCTGGGTCTCATTTGCTAAAAGGGCCAAGCTACAATTTTTGCTTCAACAGTTTTAGAATCCCCTCCCTTCTTCTATCTAACAGAAATGGCATTACAGTTTCATGAATCAGGATGTCCTCCCTTAGTCCATTCATTGGTGTTTCTGACACGATGCAAATGATTACTCAGAAGAATTAAGAGAATCCAACAACCAGATAAACAAAAATGGTACAAATGCCTACTAATTTCAAACAAATAATTTCGAGTCGCTGAACCTTACATTATTACTACTTACAGCGCTGCAACTCGATCCACTGGCCACAGTTAATTACCACCTACATGTGCATTTCCTATGCAGAAATGTTGATACTACATACACCACTTACACTTACAATTAAAAGTACACAACTTCTTGCTTCTTCCTAGGTCTTTGTAGACCTTCGCGGCGTAAGGGCGTGCTTTCACCCTTCTCCTCACTGGTACAGCCGTGTACCCAGTGCAGAGAGCTCCCGCTCTGTGCGGGGTCTGGGGAAGAGTGTCAGTGGCAAGCCTTACCCTCGCCTATGCAATGCGAGGAGACCACGACTCGAATCCGGGACTTTCCGGTCACAGGCGGTAAGACTCGACTCTACCACTTGCACCAGGCCCGCCCTTCCCTCACTGGTACAGCCGTACATGATTAAATTTGAATATTCCAAAAAATTTCATAGTTCATTCAAGGAACAACTATCTGCTCTCAAATTGCTCTGGTACTGCCAGAAAGGGTTTGAATGTGAGGAGAAGCCCAACCAGCTCGATGACGTTCAGGAGGAAGAATACCATCTGATCACCTGTATGAGTGGAGCAAAGGAAAGTTATGTGAGACAAATATACGCCCTGCCAAAAAGAACACGAAATGGATCTGGAACTTTTCTTCTTATAAGAGGTTAACAAATTTTACCTGGAAAGAAAAAGGCATGCTGGCGTTTCTGTGCCCATGAGAACCTGAATTCATACACAAACAATCAGGTGCAATCCATGTCTCACATGCAGCAGATCATTCTCCAACAAACTAAAGCTGCTAGATCCAATGCACAGTACACCTCAGCCTTCCTACTTTCCACGCTTAAATTAGCAGCTGTGGAGCACTAGTTAAATTTTCAAGCTGGCGAACTTGCAGTGACATGGCCATAACTGACCCTAAATTAGAAGTACAAATGCAGCTCAGCTTCCTACTTGTGAAGCTTAAATTTAGCAACAGTGGAACACTAGTTAAATTCAAAATGCACTGCACCTCAGGACTCCTACTTTTGAAGCTCCAAGCACATTCCATTTAAGCATAGTTGTCAAAGCAGTAATGTGGATAGCAAGTTTATTTTAACTAAAACCGTAAGGGTTCGTACAGAAAATTAAGGGTAGATGTAAGGAACAGATTATACTCACACAATGCCAGCTCCTGCTGGAGCAAGTGCCTTGAAAAAGGACATCCCTGTCATGGACAGTCCATTTGCAGCTCCTCTTTGGTCCTGAGGCTGTTATTAATTGCATGACCATCAGTCCATCACAGATTAGCAGGACAGATGTTTTAACATATTGTTCAAATTGGGTTGAATAAATTGATACATACCACAGCATTATTTTGAAGGATGAAAGTGCCTGTAATGATGGTAACCTAATATTGCACACCAATTGATGAAAATAGTTAAAATCAAATAAACTTCAATACAGCAAGAAAAAATAAATAGCAAAACCCCTTATTCTCCAAAAGAAAAAAAAAAGGTGTGATCTCCTATGTTATGGGCAAGTACACATGATCTTGTTTTTGAGGAATTTTTTTAAGTACACATGATCTACATGGCTGATATATGCCAACCATCTGCAGTAACTACAGAGTTTATTTTCTTTTCCTTTCTTCAGAGCAGAGTAATTGTAGACTCTCTAAATGTACCAAAATTGCCGTCTATGTACTTATTTGAATCTGAAAGTTCAAACAGGTATGAAAAGATACAAAAGAAATACTCACAGCAAGATTATTCTTTATCACTGACGCAATATTCAAAATGATTGATAATCCAGGGTCTGACAGGTATGTCATGTAGGGGTAGGCAAAGAGGATAGGTATGCACAGGATCTGCAAGGTCAAGCACAGCAGTTAAGATATGCTGCGAGAACAGAAGGAATTCAATAATTAAATAACGAAATATTTTACTCACAGCTGCAATTCGAGAAGATTTGATAGGCCCAAGAACCTTATTGATACTAGGATATAGAAAGAGTTGATATACAAGAAGACTGGCACCTGAAATGGAAGATGTAAACTACTGTAAATGCTGGTACGACAAATAACAAAAAAGTGGTGCACGAAGTTTTGGGAACCACAATGATGGAACTGGACTGATGACAGAATTTGAAAATTATGTTCAGCGTCAGGGAATGATTAAGTTTTCTCTTTTTTCATATACAAGTCAAAAGGTGAGTAGGTACAATTATAACATGAACTTTAGACAACAACGCGTTTCTTTTTTTTCTCGAATACGCAGGAACAATGCGTTTCTGCAAGTTAATAACGCTAACAACAGTGAGAAAATTTACCTGAGATTGCAAGAACTTGACCAACATCCTCAGATGATAAACTCAGTCCACCATACTTCTTGTCACTTTCAGCCCATAGAGAGAACACCTAGAGTTAGTTTTTATTAGTGCTCCGAAACATGCTAGAATTTCCTCTAGATAGGTACTGTAATAGAGAGCACACAGCATACATCTACATAACTTGTGGTAGCTTTCTAATAAATAAAGTAATACAACAGTTATATGTTGGTACAGAAGGATATATGTACGATGCAAAACAAGAAGAAATAACAGATATTCACAGCAATGCAAACCACCCTTAGGCTGCAAGACAAAATTTTCTTGGCTGACAGCAACCGATGTTTAATAGGATCCATGTTAAAATTCTACTTTTCAGAACAGACGCATATTCAAATAACTAGTTAGCAAAATAGATATACCATAGTTTAGAGTAAATCCTTCTAGTCTCAAATAGAGCAATTATGTTCATAACATGCATTAATTCTACCAAGCTTGTTAAAGCATGTACTCAAAAGTTCCAAAACTTCAGTGTCATAATTAACAAACAAAAAGCAAATACCTCTGTGTAAGCCATGTCATGGAAGGAGAAGATGCAATACACAATTATTGATGACATCAATGGCCAATTCCTGAATAGGCTCTTCTTAGTATCTGAACTACCACTTTCTTCAACCTTTTCTTTTGAATCAATCAGATGGGCCTCCAAAGCTTCAATGTTCTGACTTCTATTTTCATGAACTTTGTGCTTGTGCAAAGTCTCCTAAAATACATTGTGAGATGCTTTAAGATGGGCAGGGGAGGAATCAAAATTTGGTTCAAAAGGTATGTAAATGGTTAATGAATAAGCAATCCCACATACCGGCATCCATATGCAGCTTAAGAGAACAACAGCAGCAAAGATTGATGTGCATAAGCATGGTAAGAAATATGGGAATCTGACAAGTTTCCATACAAAATAAGTACTATGTAAGTGAATTATTTGAGATTATCTAGTTTTGCTATGTGAAAAGATACCTTCCAAAGATTGAGTCAGTTGAAAAGACAGTTGGAAAATTTTCTGCAGGCTGCCACATAGTTAACCAGATTAGGATCGACAATTAGATATAATTTAAGATTGTTAAAGAAGAGAATTTTTTGGATTTGAAGAAAAAAATTAAAGAAGTACCTGTGCAAGATAACCTCCAAGAGCAGGACCAATAATGAGACCTATTCCCCATGCTGTGCTGACCTAAAATTACAAGAAGGTGAATTTTAAAATCATTGAAATAAGAAAATACACAGTAGCAAATCAATATAAAATTTGTATATTACAAGTGATAGTGCTAACGCTTCATGTTCAGGTCGGCAAACTTCAATGGCATAAGCCTGTAAAAAATCGGGTATCATTACTAATGATATGTGTATATCAAATCTATCTTCTAACATAAAAGAGCTCACAAAATCACTATACCTTTATTGGTCCAAGCAAACCATTTAAAGCACCAAGCAGAAATCGCGTAGCTATTGCCATCCAATAGTTGACACTCAGACCAAACAATGTATTGAACACAACCCTGGGACATTAAAAAGATTTAACTCAGAGACTCAAGTATTTGAATAAGAAAAGGACAGGAGTAAACAAATGCACAGTTAGTCATCATTTAGTTTTACATAGAATGGCGGTAAAATGTTACTAACACAGAGGAAATGCCAAACACGACAACAGGTTTCCTCCCGATACGGTCAGCTGCTATACCCCAGGCTGTTGAAGTCAAGCATCTACCAAACATAAATGAGGCACCTGGAAACATCCAGCATATGGAGTTGCTCATCTCAATCACAAGACATTAATCATTTGTGAAAACCAAACAAAACCATGCTGAACTTGATTGAGCAATTCGTCAAAACTAACCTACGAAACCAGCGTAGAACCCGATATCTTCTGTTCTTTTAGCAACCCCCAGATCTCTTATCTGTAAAATTGTAAGAGACAACATGGACACTTTATATTAGGTAAAGGCACTTAACGTGCACTGGTAGAGGAGAGAGGTATCAAATAAATCAGCATCATTGTACTGGCTAATTATTGCAATATATATAACACGAAGCCCTGAATAACAAGAAAAAGAGAGCAAAATATATACATACCATAAAATACAAGAAGGGAAATAGCGATGATATCGGTAAAGCTGAAAACAAATAAGAAAAATCAGAAACAGTAAAGTAAAATGGGTGATATTTATTGAAAGAAGAAAGGGTGTGAAAAGGATAGGAATTATATAACAACATAGAAAAATTTGTCAATCATGCATGTTTCTGTCGGCCACAAGTGGTGGCACAGATGTTCTGAAAGCTAGTTCAGTAAATGGTGACTAAGAAACCATTGAATAAGACCTGAGAGAAGCCCTCAGGCACTCATAAAACTTCAGCTATAATAAAGATTGAATATAAAATTGCCCGTGAATTAAGGACTGAGAAATGATGAAGAATTAATGTATCAGTACGCATAAAATTCTTACTATGTCGCAACTGTTGCTTACTTGGAACAATCTGAAAGTTTTCAGTAAATAAACAGGCATTACATTTCAAAGGAAACTGAATGCCGCAACTTTCTGTAAGGTGTGTGTGTACGTGCTTTCCCTGGCAGTTAATCTTCAGAGAAGTTTTCTGCTAACTTATTAAATAAGTTGCTCACACGGACAATGCTCCAAAGTTCAACGAATTCGCTGTCTTAGTTAAGATTAAGGAGAAAGTATCCACCTAGCTAGCTAGCGCCTAATGACACCATATAGCGGCAGGCTACCATACCTAATATCGGGGCCTACACATATATCCACAACATGCCCATTGGGGAATTTCAATTCGAGTCACTCTTATTGCAGTACGGTTTCATGCATGTGTTGGCAACTAATGTATGTGCACTATATACGGTTGGCATTCGCCTACACAGGTCATGGAATTTTCGGGTAATTGGGGGCAAAAATTAAGAATCTTTCCCGGAATCTAGTGTACAGGGCTGTAGCAGAACAACGACGAGACAAGACAAGGCAGAGGCAGAGGCAGAGCAAAGCAAGGAGCGAGAGAATCTAATCTGAGAATGAATGGCGGTACGCCGTACGCCGTACGCGCGCGGTAGAGGTCAAGACGTACCGGCGGTGAGGGAGATGATCCAGATGTAGAGGAACTCCCGGTACGGCTTGGCGTTCCGGAGCCGGAGCTCCTCCTTCCTCCGGTCGTACGCGCAGCCGGGGCACTCCATTTCCGGGCGGCGGTGGCCGGCGTCGCCGTCGGCGGCCTTTGTCGTCGTAGTTGCTGCGCAGCAAGGGCGCCGCGGGCCGCGGCGCCGCTGCGCTCCTCCTAGCCCATTGGCGGTGGCGACTGGCGAGGGCCTCCCTTCCCTTCCATCGTCGCCTACTACGCACCCCTCCTCCCCCAATGCCAATGGCCAGCCAGGCAGGCGCCCAGGCCAGACAAGGAACGCAAATGGATTAGGCAGATAACGAACGAACACCAATGGATCGGTGGTGCTACATAGTACAACAGATGGAGGGAGGCGAGTGGCGTCGTTCGTCCACTCCATGCCCTTTCCCTCAGCGTTCCGTTCCGTTCCCTCCCAGGCACCCGTGCTGGTGGTGGGTGGACGGTGGTAGGGACCCCCAACCCAACCAAGACGACGGAGGGAGGCGCCGGGCGCGGCAGCGCCAACTGGGCATCATTGCCTTTGGGCTTTGGCTCACGGTCACTTCCTCCTCCTCCTCCGGTCCTTGCCTATACCCACCCTTGTCCCTTGGAGGAGAAGGACACACTCACTGGGGCCCCAACACCGATGCATCATTGCCTTTGCTAGGTAGCTAGCAGGAGTCGTACAAGTCGTTGTGAGCGAGCGGCAATGCTGTGCCGTGCAATACTACATGCTGATGGTGGCAGTTGAGGGAGGAGCTGAAGTCTAGTTGAGGGAGAAACAGAGAGAACAAGGCGGCGGCGGCGGCGCCGGCAGGGGAATATATCGATCCAAGGCAAGCACGTACATAGGCATGGCAGTCGGCGCAGAGGTGCACAAACATCAGATGGAATCATGGAATGGCATGGCCGGCGTATACGTACCTGTGCAGAGCGTGACGATCCAGACGTAGATGAAGTTGGCGTAGGGGATGCCCGGGTTCGCCGCCTTGTGCCGGTCCACGGCGCACCCTGGGCACCCCTCCACGTAGTAGTACCCGCCGCCCGCCTCCGACGCCTCCGCCTCCACCGACGTCTTCTCCAGCAACGGAGCCGTCGTCGACGACGACTGCTGCTCCGCCGCCGACGCCGCCGAGTCGCCCCGACCCATCATACCGATCGATCCAATCCGCTGCTACCTGCTAGCTGCTCGATCGATCGGTCTCTCGATGGATGGAACCGAATGCCGCGCGCGCGCTCACTCTGCTGGCTGCCTACTCGATCGATCGGCAGCCCGTTCGCTTGTTAGTATTCTGACTTATAAGGGGGCATGGCTTATCGACGATCGACAAAAATTATCGACGATCGACAAAAAAATATTTTTTTTACGTTAAATTAGTCAATAACACTTTCAGTAATCGCTTACGAGTCAAATTCGGCTAAACAAACAGGTCGCGGATCGCGATACTCTGCGCTATAGCAGCCAGTACTGCACATGCACGCAGCTGCTGCACGCCGTGGCCCTACCACTGCGTACCTGCTGCCTGCCTGCTGCACTGCAAAAGCTGAGACGACGACGAGCGAGACCCATCTACACCTCCCTCGCCCGCTATATATGGATGATGGACCAGCTTTCTTTTTAACAAAGGGACTAAAGTTTAGTCAGAAACACCCACCGAAGCTGAGACCCCGTTTACTTCCACTTTATTTTATAAAATTTTTCAAGATTTTTTGTCACATCAAATCTTTAGACGCATACACGAAACATTAAATATAAATAAAAAAATAAAACTAATTACACAGTTTAGACGAAATTCACGAAACGAATCTTTTAAGCCTAATTAGATTATAATTGTACAATAATAATCAAATAACAACAAAAATGCTATAATACTATTTCACCAAAAATTTTATAAACTAAAAACCAGAAAAAAAAACCACCACAGATCCAGGTTTCGGTTTTGATGATGATGGGCGGCGGCACCGCACGGCAGTAGAGGACGACGACACGGATTGCTGTTTCGGCGGTATCATCGTGCATGTGACGTAAAATATTTGTTAATTTGATTGACGACGACGACGACACAGATTCGATCGTGGTAGGTGTTGGATCGGAGATCGATGCCAAATCCCACTTGGCCCGTGTTTAGTTGGGAAAAAAATAGGAAGTTAGCTGCGGCAGTATTTTTGTTTTTATTTAGCAATTATTATTTAATTATAGACTAATTAGGATTAAAACGTTTGTCTCACGATTTTCAACAAAACTGTATAATTAATTTTTTCTTCTATATTTAATGCTCTACACACGTATCATAAGATTCGATGTGATAACTACTGTAGCACTTTCCACGCAGCTTCCGATCCTCTGGGCTATTCTCGTCGATCGGCGAGAGTTTTTATATCACCCCGTTCCCGTCTGGTGTCTTAATTAATTACAACGCGACGTCGTTTAATTGCGACGCACGGGATTTAACCAGCGTGCTCTGATGACTTTTCGGACTTTTATTTACATACTTTCAAAAAATCAAAGAACTTCTTTTGTTTTTCGAAAATTATGTGATAGAACCAATAACCCTGCTACTTCGCGTCCGGTGGTTGTTTCCACTTTTGAAGGAACAAGTGTAAATCAAATTGGATCAGCTAGAGCTAATTATTAGTCAGAAAAAAGCTACAGCTAATTATTATTAGTCGAAGCTATAAAATAGATATTTGCAAATTAGACAGGTAATAACTACTAGTTCCGGTGTATATTTGAATCTTGGCGAATAATAAAGGGTCAGGCTAGCGACGGACAGCGACTGACGTTCGCCCCCTTTTCTTTACCCATCCGCTCTCCTGTAATTTATTTAGGCCTAGTTTAGTTTCAAAATGTTTTCCTAAAAAGTACTACAGTAGCCATCACATCGAATCTTGCGATACATGTATGGAGCATTAAATGTAGACGAAAAAAAAACTAATTACACAGTTTGGTTGGAAACTACGAGACGAACGTTTTAAGCCTAATTAGTCCATAATTGAACACTAATTATCAAATAAAAACGAAATTACTACCGTAACCAAATTTCCAAAATTTTACCAAGCTTTAGCATTGTACTGTACGTCCTATTCATGAGGAAGGAATGCTGAACAGAAAAGGAAGCGCCCACGTGATGCTGCACCTGCCTGCGTGCTAGTGCGCCTGCTGCGCCCCGCCTGCTGTTGTGCCAGCGCCTGTGGAACATACAGTTATTGGTTCTTTACGTTTAAATCGTATAAATATTTGGAACATATCGTTGAAACATCATTATAACATGTGTAATATTTTGATCTATTTTTTGAAACATCCAGATGCAACACTTGAAATATAAAAAAAAACAGATAAAACACTTGAGACATGCGTCTGAAACACTTGCAACATACGTGTATATAGATGAAACACTGGGATAGACGCTTGCAACATACATGTGCAACCATTGCAACATATGCAACATATCGGTCTACTTTTGCAACATCCGCATGAAACAAATGAAACATACATCTGAAACAATTAAAAACACTTAAAACATGGGTTTGCAACATGTCTGAAAAGCGTTCAGAAAATACTTTAAACACAGCATCGCCGCATGGCCATGACCTATATGGCTGGTGGGCAACTACGGTGGCGCAGGCTTGCTGGATGGTGCGTGCCTGCACGCCCCCGCCATGCCCACCGTCGCCCGAGGGAGAAAAGACGCTGCCGGACCTGGGGAGGGCGCGACCGGTCCGTGAAAGCTCTAGTTTGGTTTTGGTTAATTCATAAAACCCCAAGTGCTAAACTAGTTTATCAAAGTGATTATGATATAGCTAGCACTACTTCAAGTGGTGAAGCAAATGAAGATCATGACATGATGATGATGATGCCATGGTGATGATTAAGTGCTTGGACTTGGAAAAAAAGAAAGAGAAAAACAAAAAGCTCAAGACAAAGGTGAAATTGATAGGAGCTTTTTGATTTAAGTGGTCGAGACACTTAGCGAGTGTGATCACATTTAGGATCGATAGCCGTACTATTAAGAGGAACGAAACTCGTATCGAAATGCGGTTATCAAAGTGCCACTAGATGCTCTAACTCATTGCATATGCATTTAGGATCTAGTGGAGTGCTAACATCCTTGGAAATGTTTGTGAAAATATGCTAACACACATGCACAAAGGTGATACATATTTGTTTAGCACTTGGGAGCAAGGGTTCGAAACTTCACCGCGCGGAGTGTCCGCTCGTAGAGTGCGGACGGTCCGACGGTGCCACCGGCGCACTGTACAGAAAAGACAGGATTTCACAAAGTGCACCGGACACTGGTCACGCAGTGATCGGACTCTGACCCAGCGTTTGGTTAGTGGCGCGCAGTAAAGGCCGCCCTCGGTCTCTTGACCAGACACAGGTGACCGGACTCTGGCTGAACACTGTTCAGCATCCGATTGTGCTGATGTGGCGGCACACAGAGTAGACGATGAGTGACCGAACGCTGGTTGAGCCCGGTCGTGCATGACCGGACGCGTTCGATCGCGAGCGAAACCTTACTGGAAACGACCGGACACTGGTGCTGGTGCATCCGGTCACTTCGAGCAGCGCGTCCGGACACAACTTAAGTGTACTGATGACCGTTGAGATCGAGCGATGAGCATTTAAAGCAGGGGACACATGGTGTGCATCGCACGACTAGACGCTGGGGTCCTGCGTCTGGTCAAACCGACCTGTGCATCCGGTCGTCCCGTTTTTCAGTGGACTGAGGAGCCAACGGCTCTATTTCGTGGGGGCTTCTATTTAATCCCCATGGCCGGCTCAAGCTCACTCTCTTGGCCATTTGCATTGACATAGCAACCTTGTGAACTTAGCCAAAACCCTCCCACTCATCTCCATCATTGATTCATCGTCTTTGTGAGATTGACAGAGAATCCAAGTGCATTGCTTGAGTGATTACATCTAGAGGCACTTGGTGTTCGTGTTTCGCTGTGGGATTCGCTTGTTGCTCTTGGTGGTTGCCGCCACCTAGACGGCTTAAAGCAACGGAGGAGGATTGGCACGAGTTGGTGATTGTTCGTGGCCATCTCCCGGTGATTGTGGGGGTCTTGTGCCTTCCCCGACGGAGCGCTGAAAGGTAACTCTAGTGGATTGCTCGTGTCATTGAGTTACCTCATTTGCGGGTAGGTTCTTGCGGTGTCCAATTGTGTGGACAAGGTTCGTGCAACACCTCTTAGCCGCCGAACCACCAAGTGTTGGTCGACACAACGGGGACTAGCGTGCCGACAAGCACGTGAACCTTGGAAGAAAAATTGGTTGTCTCTTGCCCTTTGATATTCTCCCGATGATTAAGTTAATATTCATCTTGTGATTGGTTCACTCCTCTACGCGACGGTATATCACCTTACTCATTTACATTCCCTCAAACTAGTTGTAGCAAGCTCTTTAGTGTAGCTAGAATTGAGAGCTTGCTTTGTAGCTTAAGTTCATCTAGCGAAGCTCTTTAGTGTAGCAAGTGTGAGAGCTCTTAGTGAGTAGTAACTTAGTAAGTTGTGTGATTAGTGATCATAGCAACTAGAATTGTTGGATAGGTGGCTTGCAACCCTTGTAGAGCTAGAGCAAGTTGGCTTTTCGCTATTTGTCATACTAATCAAATTCCTCTAGTTGGTTTGTAGATTTTTAAATAGGCTATTCACCCCCTCTAGCCATATTAGGACCTTTCAGCCGGGGTAGGAGAGGGTCAACGGCTTGCTTGAGCCCGCCAGTCGCGCGCCAACGACTTGCTCGAATCCATCGGCCAGATCCCGTGGGACGTGGGGGAGGGTCGCGGCGGCCATGGAGTGAGGGGAGGGGACGCCATGGAGACCGTCGGACTTGAGGGAAGACGCACGTGGAGGAGGGGTGGCTAGATCCATGGAGAGGAGGGGAGGAAGCTTGCTCGAGCCGCCATGGAGTGGGGTGAGCACCCATTTATTTTGATGAGGTGAACATCTTTATTTTTTTTTAAAAACTATTTTTTAAGGAGGGAGGTTTTGATCTTGGTTTCTTTGAGGGAGGTGGCCTTTGGATCCTGGTATGTTCGTGCCCTCAAGCCCCTCCTATCCTTTTTGGTGCTCTTTTCTAAGTTTTTGATGCTTTTGTGATGGTCTAGATAGGAGGAGAGAGAAAAGAGAAGGTATTTATGTTGTTAGTCCATGGTGTCCTAGATCTACATGCGTGTGTGAGAGGTCGATCCAGTAGCTAGGTCTACTGGTGGTGTATATAAATCTAGTTTATACTGGTCTAGTTTGTGTCATATATAGCGCCATAATTATTGGTATGCATGTATATTTTTTGTGTCAATTTAATTGTACTGGCTAATTACACACACCATAAAATACAAGACGTACTTGTGCAGAGGGTGACGGTCCAGACGTAGATTAAGCTGGCGTAGGGGATGCCCGGGTTGGCCGCCTTGTGACGGTCCACGGCGCACCCTGGGCACCCGTCCACGTAGTCGTACTCGCCCTCCGCCTCCGCGGCCACCGACGACGACGACGACTGCTGCTCCACCGCCGCCGACGTCTTCTCCAGCAACGGCGCCGCCGCCGAGTCTCCCCAACCCATCATATCGATCGGTCGATCCGATCGATCTCTCGATGGATGGAATCAATGCCGCCCGCGCGCTCAGTCTGCTGATGGGTGCCTACTCGATCAGCTAGCTCCGCGCTATAGCTAGCTACTGCCTACTGCACATGCGCGCAGCTGCACGCCGTGGCCCTACCACTGCCGGCCTGCGGCACTGAAGCTGAGACGACGAGCGAGCGAGCGAGAACCATGTACAACGTAACAGCTCGCTCGCTATATATGGAGGATGGACCAGCTTGCTTGCTTTAACAAAGAGCGAGCGAGAGAAAGAGAGAAGTTGTTTGTTCAATTCCTTGGATAGAATGGCCACACGTGTCCGCATTCATGCGGTGGTTTTGTTACTACTAATTTTTGTTGTTTCCGTAGCGCTCAAGTACATAACGACCTTGCATATGCGCAGCCAGCACAATATGATGAGTACCATTAGACACCAAAGATGCATGTACTGGAGCTTCCGATCTATCCTCTGGACTGGACTACTCTCGTCGATCGGCGAGAGTGTTTTATATTATTCCGTGTGGATCCCCGCGGATATAGGAGAGCATGCATCAACAACAATGAACTACTCCGTATTTACTTGGCTAATAGGCTAACAACTAGCTAACACCTTGGCCAAAAATTAGATTTGCCCATAAAGCCCTCCTATTTAGATAAAGAGCTATTTTTAATTAGCTGCTAATTGTGAGCCTATAGGATCTAAACAGAAACTAATTAAAGCCCTCCTCTAGCTCTCAAAAAATGCTAGCTTCAACGACTTTTTAAGTCGAGCAAACTGTATACACCCAGTTTTCATCTAAGGAAAACATCCCTTCTCTCTTCATAAATTTCCTTTTTTGACAGAAAAAAATTCAGTCGCAACTCTCCTAATATGCCATCCGTGGTCATATGTTGCAGTCAAGACAAGTGCGCATTTTTTTCTTTCAACTACCTCCTAAATTTATGTTCCATTCACATCTGTTGATGATTGCGCCTACACACATGCATGTCGTGAATTCACAATAGGTGTCCACAACTACCCCATGCAGATGGTCCACATACTTCGAACAAAAAGATTTTGAGAGACAGTCTTGATTAACACAGAGCAGATACAAAAGGGTGCCACCTTTGTTAATGTATAGGAGGCATCCAGAGACAAACGCCCGCCCCTGTTAATCATTAACGGAGTCAGACGTCTTAAAATGACCACCTCTGTTAATGCTCTATTAATAGAGACGGACATCATTAGTCGGTTGCCTCTGTTAATGGAGCATCAATGCCCACTTCTGTTAATGACAGGCTATAAATACACCCTAATCACCTCTATCTTCTTCCTCCACGAGCTCACCTATTTATTTTATATGGGGTGGACATCTTTGGTTCTTCTAAAAAAACACGATTTTTCAAGGAGGGAGATTTTGATCTTGATTTCTTTGAGAGAGGTGGCCGTGCGAGCTTGAAATGTGCCCTCATATCCTATTTTTGTGCTCTTTTCCAAGTTTTTGATGCGTTTGTGGTGGTCTATATCTAATTGTAATGATGCGAGGAGAGAGAAAAGAGAGGACATTTATGGTGATAGTTCATGGTGTTCTAGATCTAGATCTAGTAGCTAGATCTAGTGGTGTATATAGTTCTATAGTTTATGTTGTTTTAGTTTGTGTCATATATATATATATATATATATATATATTGGTGCGCTCAACCGTACCCTTGTTTCGCCGCGGGTTCGTCTCATCATCATCATCATGCATGCATGCATCATCTCAAGATAATTTCGATCTCAACCGTACTACTGCAGAGGAACGAAGAAGAGTCGCAATGAACTTGCACCACTCCCCCCGGCCAGTCTCCAGATGAGGCTGATTACTCCAGTCCGCGGTCCGCGGGCGGAGCCGTCCGTCGTACATCAACGACCAACAGCCACCTAACTTGCACTGGGCTCTGTTTAGTTGCAGCCAAAATGTCAATTTTTTTAAGATTTTTCGTCACATCGAATCTTTGGACGCATGTATGAAGCATTAAATATAAATAAAAAATAAAACTAATTACACAGTTTAGACGAAATCAACGAGACGAATCTTTTAAACCTAATTAGACTATGATTGGACACTAATTGCCAAATAACAACGAAAACGCTACATTAACATTTTGCCAAAAAAATTAGCATCCAAACTGGCCCCTACTGTAGCTAATTGATGCAAATGCCACGCAGCCAACTACTGACGTTTACACTGATTTGCAGGAGAGGGGAGCAGCGCCGATAGGGACGACGTATCTTTTTGTCGTACGTGTTGCCCGTGTAAAGTAAGCACACACAGCACGTTTGATTTTATTTCTCTCGCTGCCTTGGCTTGCCTCTCCTCTCCTCTCGTCTTGGCATCAAGGTGAGCTGGTTGTACATCGAACAACAGCCTGTATGATATGATTAATAATTTCTAGCAGGGTGGATGAACGTCGACGAGGAGCGTCGCGTCGTCGTCGGCAACCACCGAAAACGTGGAGTGGCGCAGACATATATGGGCGCAGAGGGCAGTGAGCAAGAGATGGATGCATGCATCCACTCCCTCCCGGCCCATTTTACAGCCATCAAGATCCAAGACACCATTTCACATACCAGAACAAGACAAGAAGCGTGTGTGTGTGTGTGTGTATATATATATATATATATATATATATATATATATATATATATATATATATATATATATATATATATATATATAATTATTCTGCAGCTGGCCATAGAATAACTTATTCTATAGCCACCTTGATTTACGATAATGTTTGTTCCAATTTACGATAACATGAATATGTATTTACGATACTCGTGTTACTACATCTCACGGTGATATTTACCATAATGTTATAGTAAATCATTTAGTAAGGAGTTACTGTAGTCTCGAAAATTAGCATAGTAGCTATCGTAACTCAAAGTGGCCACGGAATAAGTTATTATATAGCCAGCTGCTATATTCTGCAGCTGGCCATAGAATAACTTATTCCGTGGCCACTTTGAGTTACGATAATTACTATGCTAATTTACCAGATTATAGTTACGATAATCACTTAATGCAACTGGGGCTTGCCTTGATTAACGGAAAAGTCAGGTTCCGGAGTCGTTCCACAATTATCAAATCCGACCTCAACAGGCGGATTAACCTCCTCCACAACTTGATTAACTACCACGTGCTCACCTTCGTTCACTACACGTAGTAACAATGCCATGTTTAACATGATGCGAGATACAAAATATGATGCTTGATGATGGATACAAAATTAACAACTTGAATACAACTTTCCTTCGCGGTACAGTTACAAGTCAAAACTAACTAAACCTTTTTCGTAACACTTATTTCACTTGCCAAGGATCATTACCAACTAATGACCCAAGGTCATCACTTAATCCAAAATTCAAACAAAACCTAAATCATTAAATGTTACTATTTGCTTTTATAAATTAATTATTTAATTTAAAATTATGAAATAAATCAACTTGTTCCAATGAAGCTCAAAATTTTTGTAAAGGTTCATCACATGATAACTAAGTGGCAAAACAACTTTCATAATTTTGGATAAATAAATAAGCCTAGAAAAATCATGTAAACTTATTTATTAATTAATTGAGCAATTTTTATCACATTCAAAAAGTACTGAAAAACAACATTTCATATTTTTCCTAAATAGTATACATCACAGAGAGGTCACACAAAAATTTTCATAATTTTTCGAGCTCTACATAAATCTACACAAAAATAACAAAAGCATACACTATTTATCCATTTCTAAAAATAGAAAAATTCCATTTGAAACCCATGGTCACTGACAACCCGACCCCACATGTCATCCCGACCTCGCGCTTTGACCACGGCGACGACGGCACTGATAGACGATTTCTCGCCGCCGGTGAGACCAACGGCGACGGCGAGAGTACCAACATGATCACTACATCACGGCGCATCGATTTGAGGCACAAGCGAGACCAATTACGAACTGGACCGCACACGACACCGTCCATGGCGGACACGGCGGCGCGGCCGCGCTATGCCGACGAAACAAGGCCAGTAGCGATGAAACAAACAACTCGGGAAGAACCAGGAGCTCACCCCGAACACACTGGAGCCGATGACCAAACCAGAGGAGCAACGGAGGAGCGGGTCGACGGTCACAGCAAACACGGCGGCGGAAGCAACGACGGCGGCGATGCTCCGGTGGCTGCGGTGGACAAAAGGGTCAATCAACCGAGCACAAAGCATCACGGCATCAAGGTGAAGCTAGAGCTACGCTGAGCAAGAGCAAAGGCGCACCGGAGAGCTCTGGCCACGACGACGCGCGCACCACGGCGGTGTTGTCGGCCGCGAGGAAGAAAGGCGGCGAACGGCGTTCCCCAGTGAAATCAAGCGATCAAGGTTGGTTGGCTGGGTTCACACGGAGAAGATGAAGCTGGGACAGGCTTCGCCGAGATGGTGGAGGCACTATGGCGACGGCAAAAGCTCGACGGAGCTATGGCGGTGGCGACGGGAAAAAGCAGAGGAAGAAACGGCGAAGAACGACGGTGAGCAGGCCTTATAACGTGGCTCAGAAGCAAGAAGAAGCCACGCCACGGCCTTCACCGTGCCAGCGTGAAAGCAAAGACGGCCACGAGCGCGCCTGGAACCGAGAAGAAGGTCGCCAGCGGTGAGGTGGCTTCAGTGGCTACTGTTCATCTTATTTACAAAATTGCCATTTGATTTAAAACCCAAATTAGTCCCAAATTTATGTAACAACTCAAAAATCTCCAAAAATAAAAGTCACTCAAAATCCAAAGTTCTACAACTTTGCTTTTATAACCACCCCCTAATTCGGTCTACATTTTGAAACGCAAAATTGAATTAAAAAAGGGGACATTTAAAGAATTTCGCCTTTTCAAATTAATTCAAATTTTATAAAATAATTTTGAAAACTCCAAAAACAAACTTTGTACATCTTGACAAGCTCTACACTTTTGCTTTAAGACTCAACCCCAAAATGTGCTTAGATTTTGAAATGGGTTTTCTAGGGCTAACTTAAATGCTGAATTTAGGGTTTTCGAAAATTCAAATCCTAACAAAACTTTGAACTTGATTCAAACCATGCATATGATGTTTTAGTGAATACAAATCAAGGTTTTCACTAAGACCAATTGATTAGCAATGCATATGATGACATGGCGGGTTTTAGTATTTAAAACACCCGGGGTGTTACACCCTTGTACGAATACCATATAAAGACTTTAATTTTGAGAGGTAGTTTTAGTTTTCAAATTAAATTGTTATACGGTAAAGCTTGAGCGCCTAGCAATGCTCTGTACATGGAATTTACTGAGAACAACCCATTCTGATGCAACCTCCACACAAAGCGATCTCTCTGGTTTGTTAGATGAACATTTGCAACCATGAGCACCACATTGTACCATGCTTGCAGATTAGGCCCCATCAGAGATCTAATGAAAGCTACATTTAACGATGTCGTAGACAGTACAGTCCGAACAGATGCACTTTTCTTTCTCACAATGTTGTATAATGCCGGGAAGATCGTTTTTAAAGGGCGTGGCGTAATCCACGAATCCTCCCAAAAACGTACCTAGGTCCTGTCACCTAGATCAAACCTGCCCATCGAAAGAAACTCATCCTTGACCTTCATGAGGCCAGCCTAAAACTGGGAGTCCCCGGGCATGTATTGAACCTGTGTTAAACTTTTATCCCTTAAATATTTACTTTTAAGTAACTGTTGCCAAACACCATCTCCGTTTAGCAATTTAAATAGCCACTTGCTTAGGAGGCACTTATTATGAACATCTAAATTTAGGACTCCCAAGCCTCCTTGGTCTTTTGGTGTACACACTATCTCTCACTTTGTCAATCTATATACTACTTAAAACCGAGTTGATTAGTACAAGCCTTCCTCCTACTAACAATATTTTACTCCTCCAACCACTCAATCTCTTCTGAAATCTTTCTTCCACATGTTTTCGATCCTTATTCGTGAGTTTTCTATGGTGCATAGGAATTCCTAGGTATCTAAACGGGAACGATCCCACATCACACCCAAAATTTGTGTGTATGCATTTTGATTATCTTTGGCCGCTCCGTAACAAAACAACTCACTCTTATAGAAATTGATCTTGAGTCATGATAATTGTTCAAAAGTACAAAGCAGGAGTTTCATGTTTTTGGCCCTCTCTAGATCATTGTCCATTAAGATGATAGTGTCATCCGCATATTGAAAGACTGAGAGTCCTTCGTCTACCAAGTGCGGAACCACTCCCTGAATTTGTTTGGCCTCTTTTGCTCGTGAAATAAGAATTGCTAGCATATCAACCACTATATTAAACAAAATTAGAGATAACGGATCCCCCTGCCGCACTCCTTTTCTTGTTTGGAAATAATGGTCTAAATTATCATTTACCTCTACTACAACACTCCCTCTTGTCATGATTCTTGAAATCCATTCACACCAAACTGGTGAGAATCCTTTCATCCTTAGGACTTGTTGTATAAAAGGCCACTTTAGTTTATCATACGCTTTTTTGAAATCTAGTTTTAGGATCACTCCATCTTGTTTTTTCCTATGCAACTCGATCATGAATTGTTTCATGTAATATTACAACTCCTTTCATTATATATCGTCCCGGAATGAAGGCCGTTTGAATCGGACCTATCAGTTTATCTGCACTTTCAGAATTCTATTGTTTAACACCTTTGTAAAAATCTTAAAGGACACATTTAAAGGACAAATTGGCCTATATTGTTGTATTCGGGTCGCATCAGAAACTTTGGGTAACAGTGTAATTACCCCAAAGTTTAAACTATGAATAGACAGTCTCCCTACATGGAATTCATTAAAAAGGCTCATCAAATCCTGCTTGACAACATCCCAAAAGAATTGGTAAAATTCTGTAGGAAAGTCGTTCGGGCTAGGTGCCTTATTATGTTCCATATCAAAGACTGCTGATCTAATCTCCTCCTCACTGAATGGAGCCACCAATACTTCATTCTCCTCCTCCGACACTTGAGGTATGTCATGCCTCAAAGTCTCGTCCATTGAGAAAGAATTCTGTATATGAGATCCAAACAGTTGTTTATAATAATCCGTTATATAAACTTTCAAGTTCGCATCTCCAACAATAATTCCTTCTTCTTGTTCTAGCTGTATGATTTTTGTTTTTCTATGTCTCCCATTTGCCATCAAGTGGAAATACTTAGTATTATCATCCCCTTGCAATAACTTTGTTGCTTTTGATCGTTGAAGCCAATAGATCTCTTCCTCTCTTAGCAACTTAGTTAATTGCCCTTTAAGATGATGTCTAAGTTCCACCTCCTATGGTGACAGCAAACTTGTTTCCGCCTTTCTATCAAAATTATCTATCTTAGCCAACAAATCTAATTTATGTTTCTTGTTTTGAGAAACTAAATTTCTATTCCAACCTCTAAGGAATCGTTGCAACCTTCTAATCTTATTTTGCCACCGGTCCATAGGTGATGTACCCCTATTCTCCGACTCCCAAATCTCTTTTACCAGATAAAAAAACCATCCCTTGTCAACCACCCTAACTCAAATCTAAAATTCCTAACGTTCCCTCTGTGAGATGGTTCTCCTCCATCTAGTAAAAGTGGTGTGTGATCGGAGATTTCTCGGGTGAGCGCCTGGACAGTAGCTAAAGGAAATTTTTGTTCCCACTCAGTTGTCACCAAAATACAGTCTAACTTTTCATAAGTTGGCACTTCAGCATAATTAGCCCAAGTAAATTTTCTAAGTGTCATCTCTAATTCCCTTAGATTCAAAGTTTCAATAATGGCGTTGAAGATGAGTGGCCACTTATTGTTGTATCTTGAATTATTTTTTTCCGATGGGTTCCTGATTATATTGAAATCCCCTCCTACTATGAAAGGTAGATTCCCACTGCTAGTACATGCTCGTACTAACTCTGGCAAAAAATTCTCTTTGTGCTCTTCCTGTGCTGCACTGTATACAGACAAAAGAGCCCATCGAAAACCATCTATCTTATTTCTTAAAACAAATTTAATATAGTACTCTCCGACAATATTTTCTAATTCAAAGTACTCTTGGTTTATACCCATTAGCATCCCTCCGGACATAATTCAAAGTACCGCTGATGCCATACAAAATCAGCCCCAGCACAGAAATTTTCCAGATCCTGAGTCGAGAAACTATTTCTGTTGGTTTATGATAAAGCTATAAAATCAAGTCTATTATCTTCTGCCACATCATGTAAGAAAGTGTGTTTAGCTAGGTCCCGTAGACCTCTGCAATTCCAGAACAAAGCCCTTAATTGGAACAATTTTTTCTTTGATGGTACCTTCTTATTGAGGAGTTTCTTTTTTTTCTATTTTTTTGCCACTTTGATGGGTATATCAACTAGTACTCCATCAAGGCCTGCACTATTATCGTCCATCACCTCCTCCGTCAAGTCACCACAGAGTCGACTGATAGTGGAAGTATCAGGATCAATCTCATCCTCCTCCTATTCAAATTCTTTATCAATCGAATGAATAACATTAGATGGTTTTAATCTTTCTTTTTCCGTATCTAAGATAAGAGCCACAGACTTAGCAACTACTTTTTCTCCATCCCCAAGGTAATCCCGATCACCCCTAAGTTATGCTCAATACGATCACTAAAAAAGGAAGTAACTGAATTAACTAATGCATTCACATTACCTTGGGGTTCCTCGAGATTTCTGTAAGCAATTCTTTTTTCTGCCTTTTCAAGAGCGTGTACATCAGCGACATCCCCATTCCGCTTGCTACGCCTTACTGGGGTAAGCTCTCCATCTGACAGCACCGCCATCGTCATCACACTTCCCAGCTCTTTCTTTGTTCCACCATCAGCTGACAGGCCAGCTTGTACCATAGCATCAAAAAGGATCCCAAGGTGTTGATCATCAATCGTAATCACACCTTCCGCTGCCCCATCTGGAAGCAATGGAGCCTCATCCTGTTCCTCATCAAGCACGGAAGACTGCTGGTTGTAATATTTTTGTGAATCAAGACCTGTAGGCACAAAAGCACCCGCAGCCTTTACCCCCGCCCCCTTGGTGAGCTGCTGCGTTTGAACAGGCTGCTGCTGCTGCGTTTGACTTGGTTGCTGCGGTAAGCGAGCTGGTGCTGATGAAGAACCTAACAACGTCAGAGAAGCTGCAGTCCTCACATTCACCGAGTGAACTTTTTTTACCCCAATAAAATCCCGTGCCGCCTCACTAACTTCATTTTCCTCACCCAATAAATCATCCTCTGAAAGATCAATATCTATCTGTGCTTCCGGATCCTTTACTTGTTTTCCCATACTAATATTGTTCTTTGCATTTGCTACACTTGCACCTAAGGCGGTATTATCACCATGATTCTGTGTCTCTCCCATCTCAGTATCTTTTGGTGCCCCATTGCCATCATTTCGGGTGTTCCGGATATTTCTCAGCCCAATATTCGGAAGATAAGGCTCAACCTCAAAAAGTAACAGGAAGTACCTATTACCAATGATGACATCTAGCTTTGTCGAAATTGCTTCAGGTTCTAGCACTGCCACTGCAAACCGGCCAAAGCTACTTGCTCTGGAAGTCACCATATCAACATCCTGAGTAACTCAAAAAAGAGTTCCTAAATCCCACAAAATCATATATTCTTTTGAAATTGTTGGGAGGTTCAAAACATGCATCCAAACTACTGGTAGAGCATGACCAAAGTATTCCTCATCTTCCTTGAATTCTTGAAACTTGAGAGTCACACCTTCCTTCATTTCTGCATTGAACCTCGTCATCTTTGTGAGATCCCAGAGCCACTTTGCCTTTTGACTTCCCAAGCAAAAGTATCAGAAACCAATACACGTAAAAAAGCAGCGACATCCTCCTCTGTCAGATTCTTACAAGAAGTCGAGATCAGAGCCAACCTCGAATCTCTCTTTGTCGGCTGAATTGGTGCATGTGGAATATGAAAACCGGCAAGAGCATCTGCAGCCTGTCCAACCAGCTGGGCTACTGGTTTCGGTTGCTTGAGAACCGGGCACTGACTCATGGCATGATCGGAGCTTCTGCAAATTTCACAAAACACTGTCGCTGTGCACTCGAACATCAAGTGGCCCTTTAGACCACATCTTCTGCATACTTTAGTGGTGACTGTCTTCTGAGAGACACCCGCAGCACCCGTATTTGTTGTTTCTATCACTGAGTTCTCAACCCGCACATCACTTGGTCCGCCCGCCGAAGAAGAGCCCTGCAAAATTTGAGAACCTTGCAACACAGCTGCGTTGACACCCTGTTCTGTACCTGTGCCCTTTCCTGTTAGCTGCTGCTGCTCCACATTGGCACCTTGCTGTTGCTTAACCCCCATCCCCGGCAGAGCCGAAGACACTGTGGTCGAAACCGCTGGAGGAGCTTGAGAGGTGTACTGCTGCTGGTTCACCATGCTAATAGCTCAACTGGTAGACATAATAATGACATGACATTCCTCTCAAAAAAATAATAATGACATGACATCCCAGTTTAGCGAGCACCAACTAGCATTTGTCTAATTGGTAATCGTCAAATCATATACATCATAATCGATCTGAATGATTCAATGTTCCTGTAACTAAAAAAACAGAAGAAAAAAAGACTAATCCCTATCATACTGCTCTGGACTCTGGTGCGGCCATGAAGGGTTTGAATGTGAGGATAAGTCCAAGAAACTCGATGACATTGAGAAGAAAGAACACCATCTGATCACCTGTGTATATGGAGGAATAAGGCGAAAGTTTACACCACAGTAAAATATTGCATTACCTCTAGCACTGAAAAAAAAAACCGACCTGGGAAGAAGAAAGCATGCTGCCGTGCTTGTGTCCAAGAAAACCTGAATTTGTAGGTAATTAACAAGTCATGAGGACCCAAAATGCCAAAGAAGGGGTTTGGCGCAATGGCTTTAGGAGTCAACATAGAAGTAGGGATTTGGTGCTAAAAACCCAAAGTTTATTCTCACAAAAGTGGTTAGTAACTAAGTATACTCACACAGTGCCTGCAACTGCAGGGGCGATTGCCTTGAATAGGGACATTACTGTCACTGACAGTCCATTTGCTGCTCCTCTTTGGTCTTGAGGCTATAAATAATTGGGCGTTCATCAATCAGCTACATAATTGCACCAGTCACTTTTATAGATTGGTGTTGAATTCATCTTAACTTATGGGGACATACATACCACAGCATTATTTTGAAGGATGAAACTGCTCGAAATGATGGTAGCCTGATACAACATATCATGGATGAAAAATATAAACATGAATTATATATACAGATCCTAAGTGCTCTCCAAGTTATTTGGAATCTGTCAAGGTGATGGAGAAAAGAAAAATACTCACAGCAAGATTAATTTTCAAGATCGACGCAATATTCAAGATGATCGATAGTCCAGTTCCTGACAGATATGTCATAAAGGGATATCCAAAGAGAACAAGTATGCACAGAATCTGCAAGATCAGGCACAGCATAAGACATGCAGGTAGAAGAGACAGAGCATATCTGCAGCTGAACACTAGCAGTTTTAACTCACAGCTGCAACTCGAGAAGTCTTGATAGGTCCAAGAATTTTATTAGTGTGAGGATATACAGAGAGTTGGTATATAAGAAGACTGACACCTGGAAATGCAAGGGCCAAAATAATGCCATTTGTCAGTACTGATACACGTATAAAATATATAGAAAAGAGTAAGGTGTAAATGACATAGGGAAAAAACGATAGCTAGACTCAGGGAAGGCTCGAATACTCTGTCCCACGGGCTCTGTTGGGCTGGACTTGTGGTTTGGGCTCGGGCTGCTTGTTATTTTTTAGTGTTAATAATATTACTAAAATGGAATAAATGTTTTGGGCCTGCCTGATTTTTTTTGGGGGTTACGGTCACTGCTGCCCAGGCCGTGTCTAGCAAGGGCCTCGGGGCTGGGCCTGGCCTGGCAGGGTAGGCCAACAATGTTGAGGTCAATTATTTCCTAGCAACCTAAGTTTGACAGAATGGTAAGTACATACATTACACGAGATGAAAAAAAGTACATACATTACACTAGCAAGGCTGGTGAAGGTACTAAAAGAAATGTTACCTGTAATTGAAAGAACTTGACCTACAGCCTCAGATGATAAACTGAGGCCACCATACTTCTTATCACTTTCAGTCCATAAAGAGAACACCTGAAGTTGACTTCAAATGATATCAATAATCTAACTACTGACAAAATCTAAGGTTTGCTTATTACATGTGTCGTAGTATTAATGTAGTAGATTTATCATTGGACACCACAAGTCAAATTTTCTTGTGGCTACAAGTTTTTTGAGATAAGGTCTTGCATCATGACATGTACAGATTGCATATTAGGATTTATTAGGACATATATTCTATAGGCTCAAAAATAAAAATTGTGTTATACTAACATCTAGATAACTCGTTTCTTATAGCTGCAATTAATACATATTGTTCCACTTAAAAATCAGTGCTGAAAACATCAAATACTATGTCTCACAATACGTAAAATGGTTCAAGAGTTCAATTAATTGCAGAATCATCCAAAGTTAACTACAGGTACGTCCACAGTAATTGTAACCATCCAAAGATAATTATACTATTAAGAACACATTATATTTTGTTATACTAAGTCCATCTCTATCTGTGTCATGTTAGTCTAGACATATTTACCTGTGCCTACTAATTATATTGTACATTTAGCACATGTTTTTGGTGAATGCATAATTAGCCATCACATTTCAGTACTCGAAAACAATAAGAAACCGAGATCGAGAATAGTACCTCTGAATAAGCCATATCATGAAAGGAAAATACACAATATGTAATTAAGGATGACATGAAGGGCCAATTCTTGAATAAACTCTTCTTGTCGTCCAAACTTGCAATTTGTTTAGCATTCTCTTTGTAGTCACTCTGGTGGGCCTCCAAAGCTTCAACATTTTTATTTTCATTCTGGTGAACTCTGTGCTTGTGTAATGTCTCCTAAAATACATCCAAGATAATTTACTATAGAATGAGGAAGAATAAATTTGAGGGACAAAAGGTCAACATCGTACAAATGAAATATGTTAAAACGTGATTTTCCCCTCATTGTTCAGGCTTTACTTCAGTTTACATTTCATTAGAAGAAGCGGGGTGCAGCTTGTGCTGATATCTTCTACACAATGTGAGGTCTAGGGAAGGAAATTTCTAGACACTCTCATCCTTACTTATTTTGCAAGGGGGCTAATTCAAATTGTTAGGACCTTTTATGAAAGTTAAAGGAGGCATACTGTCTATTAAGAGAGTTGAGATTTTTTCTATGTAATCTTGATAGATCGTTGTATTGTGATTGATCATGGATGTAATCTTGATAAGTTTGCCACTGACACCCTTCCCCAGACCCCGCACAGAGCGGGAGCTCTCTGCACTGGGTATGCCCTTTTATGTACAAGTTGTAGATTGATCAGTAAGGTACACTAAGGTCAGCAAACAGCCTTCGTTAAGTATATTTCTAATTCCAAAGCTAATATTTCTAACTAATGCAATCTCACGTACCGGCATCCATATGCAGCTCACAAGAACAACAGTAGCAAAGAGTGAGGTGCATAAGCATGGCAGAAAATACGGGAACCTGTCAAGTTTCTATTGAATGTTAGTATTCTAAAAATCAAGTATGTTACACAATATAATAAAATCTTCACTGAAGAAAGAATACCTCCCGAAGAATGAGTCAGGTGAAAATAGGTTTGGAAATTTTTCTGCAGGCTGTCATAATATAATTAGATCATAATGCATTTCCAGTTGACAGCCTAAAATTATTGGATGTCTACAGTACCAGTGCAAGGTAGCCTCCTAGAGCAGGCCCAATGATCAGACCTATACCCCAAGCTGTGCCGACCTAGAGTTACAAGGAGTGAACTTTAGAATAAAAAATATATAAATAGACAAGAAAAGTTGAGATTTCATCAGTGTAGCCTTTTGTTTACAAGTGATATTCCCAATGCTTCATGTTCAGGCCTGCAAACTTCGATAGAATAAGCCTGTGAAATTACACATTAGTATAAGTATATTAGTTGTGCAATACATCTCACATGAAACAAAACCCCAATTCACAACACCTTAATTGGCCCAAGCAAACCATTTAAAGCACCAAGGAGAAATCTTGTAGCTATTGCCATCCAATAACTAGTACTAAGCCCAAATAAAGTATTGAATACGACCCTGAATATTAACAAGAATTAAGTTAGGGGAACACAGTATAAAAAGGAAAAAAAATGGGAATAAATAAAATAACACTTTAATCAATAGTTTTAGAAGCGATTCCTTTTACTAACACAGAGACAACGCCAAGTATGGCAACTGGCTTCCTCCCAAATCGATCTGCTGCTATTCCCCACACAGTTGAAGTCAAGCATCTACCAAGCATAAATGAAGCACCTGAAAATATCCATAAAAAAAGTTCAAAACACCATTTATACTAGAATATCTCAAATGAGAAACAACAATTATGCGGACTAACCCACAAATCCAGCATAGAATCCAATGTCTTCTGTTCTTTTTGCAACATGCAAGTCTCTAATCTAGTAAGTGATAAACTTGTTAGCCAAAAATGTTTCAAATATGTGCACATACATGTGCATGTATATATGTATGATAAAACATGAATGGATCGAATAATCTTTATGGATCAAGTGCTATATAATATTAGTTAGCAATTACTGTAGAGTAACCAGAAAAATGTCTTTAGTTATTAGGGTAAGAGGACATGATGAAATACGTACCATGAAGTACAAGAAGGGGAATAATGATGACACCGGTAAAGCTGACAAATTATAGGCAGGGGAAATATGAAGTATTAAATATGCAATTATATATATGTGTGCGAAAAGAATATAATGAGGTGCATGTTAAGAATTATAAAATACAGGGTTCCCAATAATGCTTCTAGATCAATATGTGCTTATGGCTATATTTATTAATATTATTTTTATCCACTAAGGCTAATTCTAGCAGCTTTCAGTGCACCTTTCAGTTATCCATAAAACTCTTTAAAGGGATAGGGTTAGTTAATATAATGGTCTAGGATATTTTCAGAGGCGGATGAGGCAATCCTCTTTAGTCCTTTTGCCTCTGAAAATCCATTTATAAATGCAGATGTTGCTTGTGCGTCCCTATGCATTAACAGAGGCAACATTTTTTTTTCTGTCCTCTGAAATGAGTTGGGGTGTGTCCTAAGATATTTTTTATAGTGAATGAATATTGATATTTTGGTGTTTAAGTAGATTGTAGAGAGTTTGTGCATAATTTTCCACAACTAAGAATCATTCATAAAACCAAATAATTCTTAGTATCCATAAAACTCTTTCAATGTCAGCATTTTCAGGAGGCTACCTAAACACACCCTGACAAATGAGTCCACATGTTGACAAATGAGTCTACATGTCATTGTGCATGTACAGGAAAGTACCCCTGACTTATGTAAGCAGGGGCCTTTTTACCTAGAACTGTACTGGTACTACCGGTGCGGACTATGCTGTTGGTACTACAACTGAATATCTGATCACCCCAAATAACCAAATTAGACAGTTGTGGGTGCCTAAAAACAGAAGCTTTGGGGCTGATTGGTTAGCTTCCAAAATTTGCCATGGATTTGGCGAGCCATGATTTTAGATAGTACTTGGTTTGGTTTGCTACCAAAACTTGTGAAGCTCTCACATTTGGTTTGTCAAATCTATGGCAATGTTTTTGCCTAACTTTTGGCTTGTCAAATTTTTAGTATGACAAATTTTGGATGTCAACCCAGCGGCCCTTTCATACAACACCAAGAGCTCATACACAAGGGCATGCAGGGACAGGGAGGACAGAGAAACTCCTTACAAGTCGCGAGGCAGACGGCCCAGACATACAAGAACTCCTTGTACGGCAGGCCCTCCTGGAGCTCCTTCCTCCGGTCGTTGGCACAGCCCGGGCATCCCTCGTGGTACACCTTCGCCTCCTCCTGCAGCAATGGCGACGTGACGCTCTCCTCCTCCATTGGCCGGCCGCTCTTCAGTCGTCTTCACAGAAGAGAAGCAGGAGAGGAGCAGAGCCGCCAAGTCAACGCACGCAAGAACGTACTACGCCAGGAGCGAGCGAGGAGGGAGGGCGAATGGAGGAGATTGCGATGGTTTGGTGGCCTGGCTTGGTTTTTTGGTGTGGTGACCCCGCGTACGCCAAAGCGATTCCGTCACGGGTTACGACGTCAGGAATGGCTGGAGGCTGGAGCAGACAGCTGAGGAATTTTAATTTGCGGGAGCGACGACGAATGGTTGCAGAGATGGTGTCCGAATTTTTTACTTTTTAGTCTTTTTTTTTTAAGTTTCTCACAAATAGACTCCTGGAAGAAATATTTCAGAATATAGACCCTTAGCTCGGCGTCATCGATATTGGCGCTGAGCTAACACGTCTATCCTGGGTTCGAAGTGAACGTGGAAGATGACATGACAGGGAGTCACTCTGGCGCCGAGCTTGGCGCCGTAGATCTTGGCGCCAAGCTCGGCGCCAGAGTGACAGGCACCGAGCCTTTATTACCTATGAGCCCCGCCCTTCTCTTCCTCTATTCCTCTCCCTCTTTCGCTCTAGCAGAGCAGAGCCGAGCTTCGCCTCCGCCGCCGCCGCCGCCGCCGCCCGCGCCCACGCTCGAGCCTGCCGAGCGCCACCGCGGCCGCCCCGCACCGGGCCACCGTGGATGGCCCGCGCCCCGCAGCCGCGCCGCTACCGCCCCCCCTCCGCCCGCGCCACGGTACCCTCGCCGGTTCCTGCGCCCGCGCCGCGCCCTCTCCTCGCCTTGGCCTCGCCCCGCCTTGCTGCCCTCCACCGCCGGCCTCAGCCGCGGCCGCCGTGCCTCCCACGCTCGTCGAGCTGGACTCGCCGTGCGGAGCCCCGGGCATCCCGCGCCCGCCGAGGACGTCTCATAGTGCTGGGACAGGTAATAATCTATATGTTTTGTTCAAATTTTGGTGAGCGTACATGTGTTCGTGAAGTAACTGGAGACTATGTTTTACAAATACCGCGCTGTCTAGCAAACTTACGCATCTTTTCTTTGTGATGTTTAATGAATAGGTTGACGTAGTCATGTTCATATCCCCTCTTCCGTATAATTAGTTGCCTCTTCTTCAGTTCATCCAAGAACTTAGCTTGACCATCGTAACGTTCTCACATGTATTTCCTAGTGCTCTGTTCAAAAGAAATATTATATCATATATGTCTTAGCAAAAGAAACAAAATACGATTTCATGTTTACCACAAAAATAACGAACCTCATCGTACTCAACCATATGGCCGCAATAATGACCTATTCCAAGCTCCGAATGGACTAGGCCATAGTTAGATTTAACACCCCATTCGCACATGACAAGAGGTGCTTTGTAGATTACCCTTTCTTCTGTTCCTTAACCTTCCGCTGTTCTTCCGGCCATTGGTTCTTAGGACCATACAACCACTCCTTGAAACGACACTTCGCCATTGAAAACACATAAATAAGGAGACATTAGTACATGAACACATATAGCTCAAGATTTCAACACATACACTTCGCACTTACTTCATGCTTGTTTGGACACACAAACTCCAGTGTATTCTCAGGGTTTATCACAACTCGATCTCCACAATCGCACAGAGGAGGTTCCTCGAGTCGTCTAACTACGGCTAGGTGCTTCTCCTTAGCCGTCATTGGTGGAGGGTTAGGGGGTGGAACCCACCGCTTGAAGCGCTCACGTGGATGTCTCTCTCTAAACCAATCATCGAAAAGGAGGTACCTAGGATCAAACTTGTCTGCACCGTCGATCCACTGAAAGAAAAGGCACCTCTCATGGTCCTACACAACGAGATTCCAATAAAATATTAGTAGCATACTTACACAAATAAAGAAAAAAGATAGTGGAAACAATTTCTTACATTAAAACGATTGCATATGTAGAAGCAACGCGCCACTGTGTCTGGATGTTTTGATTGAAAAACATGGGTCGGGAAACCACGGTCACAGATAGGGACAGGGAGGTCAGGAGGGATAGGGGCATCTTTGCTAGACGCGTCGGGGTATAATTCTCGAGGACGACCCTGTTTTCGCCAAAACTCCTCCCGAAACATTTCTTGCATCTAACAAAACGGATGTAATTTAACAAACATAAATCAAAACATCACAAATAAATGTCAATGAGAACCATAACTACAATACAACCAATTTCGTTCTAAGAACCGAAAGCAGTTAACATTAAACCCTGAACCTAGGGTTTCCAATTTGATGCACAACAATGAACCCATAATATAACTACATGCGCCTAGGTTTGCTAGCCTTTTCACGATATTGATGGATAGAATGAAACTCTAAGTGATGACGATTATTACCTTCAAAAATCCGACTAATATATACCGAATCGATGCGAAAAAAACTAGGAGGGGAGCGAGGATACCTTGCTCTCGAAGATCTACGGATCAAATCAAAGTTTTCAAGGTCCAATATGTCGATTCGTGAGGTAGGGTGAAGTGGGGAGAGAAAAAACCCGAGAGGGAGGAGAAAGAAGAGGAAGAATGCTAGAGCAGGAAGGTTAGGCCGGGGTTAAATGGCAGGGAGCTCGGCGCCAGTCACTATGGCACCGAGCTTGGCGTCAAGATCTACGGCGCCAAGCTCGGCGCCAGAGTAACTGGCGCCGAGCTCCCTGCCATGTCACCTTCCACGTTCGCTTCGAGCCCAGGATCTTGGCGCCAGGGCCGCTGGCGCCGATCTAAGGGTCCATATTTTGAAATCTTGCTTTCAGAGGTCTATTTGTGAGAAACTTTCAAAAAAGGACTAAAAAGTAAAAAATTCGGAGATGGTGTGGATTTTACTGGCACGGATGGTGGATGATGCGGCGCTGTGGTGTTGCACTTGTTGTCTCATCTGCAAATAGAATATAGAATGGTTGTACAGAGATCATTAGTATTGTTAATGACTGACCCTTGTCATCGTCGATAGAGTTTGGTCAGCGTCTCAGCGAGAGTTTAATTAATTGAGAAATAACAAAAGCTCGTCAAAAATTAACCGTGATCGAGCAGGGGTGGATCTAGGCGTGTTTAACTGACCCCGATAATTTAAAAGTTTAGTAAATCGAGAGACAATTAAAAAGTTTGGTAAATTGAGAATGGAATATCACTGGCCTAGCCTAAATGGGATTGGATAATCCGATCCCTACCCTCCCGGCATCTGTTGAGCCCAACTTCAGTTTTAGGTACGAGTTCAAAAATCAAACCAGGCTCGGTTCAACTTTAGCTATAACCCCCGAGTCAATAGTTACGTGGGATTTGATCTCTTGGTAAATTTTTTTTGTTTATATAGCTAAGGAAACCAAAAAGACGATATTGCTATATGATAATTGATAACTATAACTATTTTTTTCCATCGCCGCTAAAAGAATTGCAGCGCCCTGAGGGCTGAGGCCCTCCAGGCCTCTATTACTACAATGCCACTGTTGGGTCTTTATCGGGAATGCTACGCTTAGGGCGTCCAGCGCCCCAGCCAGAATCGGATGGCTTGCCCACTATCAAAACGCATCTCCTTACGAATAAAAAAGAAATCCCGCACCATGCTTATTTACACATCTCTTCATTCCTATGGATCTAGCATAGTCTTATCCTCTCGCCTGCTCTCGTTTCACAAACACAACATTATCCTCTCCCCTGCTGTTTCTCCTCCCATCGATGCCAGCACCCGAGCCGACTATAACACCCTAGTGTTAAGCATTGCATTTGACACTTTCATTTCATGAGCACAAGCATCATCCAAACATTCATGAGCATGAGCATATGGAATTTCGTCTTATTCTTATATATTATCACATGTGATGTTGATTATATACATGCATATGCTTGTGACAATGTGTGAGCAATGCAAGAGATGGTTGTGAGGTCACAAAAACACCTTAGACACATCTAGGATGGTAAATGAAATAATGTTTGTATTCATGACATGGGCCAATTTTGCTTCTAAGTGCTACTTTGAAATGCCTTTTACATGATGCTAGTTTGATCAAAGTTGAACAGTAGCTTAGATTATTTGCATGGCAGTACACCCTTAATAAAAGTTGTAGTCTTGATATGGGGAACAAACTTTATTTAAGGGTCATGAGCTAATTCAGTACCCAACATAGTAAAAAATAACTCCAAAGTAGCAATCAAATGTTGTTTAGGGACTTAGAAATTTTGCTAAGTCTAAAGCTGGTTTTCAGTTTCAAAGTAGCCTACTTTGGAGCATTGTAATTTGAAAACCATCGCAAATTGGACAAAACTTTCTGAAGCAAAGTTGTATATCTCTTATAGCTATACAATTCTTAGTAATGATGTTTTTGCTAAATCACCACGGATTAGGAGATCTAGGAGCTCAAAGTCGCCCTGTCAGTCGACTGAATCAGGCCTGATGGCCGATTTCAAACGGCCTCGGTGGCCAACCACGCGCAGGCCAAGCGCGCCATCTGGCGGTCATACGCCGGCGCCGGGCCATGCTGCCAGGCGAAAGGGAGGGCAAGCCTCGCGCGCACCCTCTCTCACTCTCACTCGCGCTCTCCTATCTCTATCTCGCTCTCGCACAACGCCGAAGCGGAGGAGCACCGTGCCATCACCGCCACCGAGCTTCGCCGCCCTAGATCGCTGCCCACGCAGCACCACCACCCAATCCACCTCGCCCACATCTCCACCGTGAGCCGCTCCACCTTCCCGACCCGCCAGTGCCACCATCCGAGCCGAGGTAAAGCCACATTTCGCGTCGCCGTCGCCGCCATGGCCACAGAGCACCGTTGAGATCTGAGCTCGCCCGTGGCCAGCCACCAACGTAGCATCTCCGACCTCTCTCTCCCTCGTTTGGTCGTCACCGTTGGGACTAGTTTCTAAGACCGCAGCCATCTTAACTGCTACCGTCGCCGATGCGCGGGAACGCACTGCCACACCAAGCGCGCCCGCCATGGCCGCGAGCTCAAGCTTGCCGCGGCCGGCCCTCGCTAGATCCCGTCTTCCCCCTCCTGTGTT